AGGGGAGACCCCAGTCTTTAGTCTGACCCTTAGAAGTTCTCAGAGGGCTCTTGATTCTCCTGAGAATAGGCTCAGTGCCCAAGTCCCCCTAGTTACCCTATCTCAAGATAAGGGGCTCCAGCAGCCCCTCATGCTGCACATGACACATGTATCTCTGCTCCTCTGCAGAAGGCACCACCATAGCTACCCACTTCCAGTAGGTTCCATCCCTCAAGCCTGGTCTCCACCAGCTTCATGTCCTAGGCCAGGTCAGGGTAGTGTTCACAGGGTAGAAGCCCAGGGCCCAGCACCTCAGGTTGATGTCATGCTCAGAGATGGGGTGCTGGGTCACATGTACCCTTTGGGGGCCTGAGTGGGAAGAATCAGACATTTTATGGTTTCTATTTCCTCTATGGTCACTGAAGCAGCCTCATGATCATCCTCAGAATGGACAGGAAAACATGCTTGGAGGGAGGAAGCACAAACCCCAGAAACCAGCCTGATCTGAGAGTCTGGGATAGAAGGTGAGAGCCCAGGGTGGGATGAAGGTCTCTAAGCATTTTGTTGCTGACTTGGGTGGAGGGTGATGACACAGACAGGCGGGAGTGAGATCTCCAAAAATGCTCTCTGACCAAAAAACAAGATCTCAAGAGAGAAACTCATTGTTCCTAAGATGGCTGCTGGTGAAAAGGGTCCTGTGCAGAGTGATTTCAGGGATGGCCTTCCCTCTTTCTCAGGAGAAACTGGATTCCTTAACTGTCCTTCAGAAACAATAGGACCCTCAGGGCCAGTCTCTATACAGGGCTTGAAAACTTGAGAGACAGTTCTCTCTCTGACCAGAAGGGGGCGCTTTTCCGACCATTCAGTGTTCCCCGTGGGGTGTGAGCCTCAGGGACATCAAAGGCCCCACAGCCCCTCTTACCACTGAGCTGCAGCACTTCCTTCCCCATCTCCAGGAGACTTGGGATCCACTCCAAATACCTGCCCAAGGGGGTGAAGATGCAGGCATTTGAGGATGCCCTTTAAGAGACAGGCCAGCTGGCTGACTGCCCAACCTTGTAGATAAGAGTGCTGAGGCCCTGGCCATGCATCTTAAAAGGGAAAGAGCTGTGAGTAAGCAAACTTGTTAATTATGCCTGCATGGGAGTGTTCATTGTGTTACAGGATAAGGAGAGGAGCACCCCAGGCCCCGCAAACCTGTCTGCTCTAAATAGGCTCTACCATCCTCCCTGCACTCACCAGCCCAGGTTTGGGCCACAGCCCTGGAGAGGAGCAGCAGGACATGGGTTGGGGGTCCCATGACCAGAACTACTGGGGTCAGGGGAGCTCCTGACTCTAGGCTGGTGGGTGGAAACTTACCTGGGGGCCATGCTGATTGGCTTCCCTGGGAACCATCCAGGCACTGGGGACTGAGAACGGGGATGAGCATTCACAAGGGTCCAGGGCCCAGCACAGGTGGTGGAGACAGAAGGGAGGCTAAGGGGGCAGTGGGGTGTCCCCAACAGTAACCTTCCTGCCCTAGACACAGCCCTGGGGCCTGGAACTATGAGAACCAGACTAGGGCCCTGGGGCTTTGCTCTGGCCCCTCCTCTCCTCCCCCAAAGCTTCCTCACCCTGTCTCTGTGACCCAAGTGCTGGGTCTGCGATTCTCAGTCATTTTCCTTCCAGTAAATAAGTGAGGACACCAAGTATACTTTTGTGTATGAGATATCGCTCCCCATATTACCACACTGGGAATAAAGCTGTGTTTAATCATGTAACTATTTCATTTGGAATAATATGAATAACCCAATGCATTTTGACAGAAAGTAATCTTTTTTTTTAATAAATTACTTTATTTTATATACTTCTTACATCATTTTTCACTTTTGCATAATGTATGCATTTTCATTTTGGTTATATTCCCCATACAATTCCCAGCCCTTTTTCTGACCATAATCCCTCTTCTTTTCCCCCCGCCCCCCACTGTAGTGTGTCTCTGGTCTATAGTTGCTTGTTGATTTTGATTTTTTACTTTATTGCAGTTAGTCTTTTTCCTGGTCTCTTATTTAGGTTTTCTAAATTCCTGCTGTCAGTGAGACCATCCGGTATTTTTCTTTTTCTTTCTGGCTTATTTCACTGAGCATGATCCCTTCCAGCTCCATCCATGTTGCTGCAAATTGCATGAGTTTATCGTTTTTGAATGCTGAGTAATATTCCACTGTGTATATATTCCACATCTTTTTGATCCAGTCATTTATTTTGGGCATTTGGGTTGTTTCCAAAGCTTAGCTATTGTAAATAGTATTGCTATAAACTTAGGGGTGTAGGTGTCCTTTTGAATTAATGTTTCTGTGTCCTTTGGGTAAATACCTAGGAGTGGAATTGCTGGATCATATGGAAGCTCTATGTTTAGTAGGTCCAGAAATCTCCACACAGCTCTCCATAGTGGTTGGACCAGTTTGCACTCCCACCAACAGTGCAGGAGAGTTCCTTTTTCTCCACATCCTCGTCAACATTTGTTGTTGCTAGTTTTTTTCATATGTGCCATTCTCACTGGTGTAAGATGGTATCTCATGGTAGTTTTGATTTGCATTTCCCTGATGACAAGTGATGTTGAACATTTTTTCGTATACCTGTTGGCCATTTGCATTTCCTCTTCAGAGAAGTTTCTTTTTAGCTCTTCGGCCCAATTTTTGACTGGATTATTTTCTTTGTTGTTGTTGAGTCTCATCAGCTCTTTGCAGATTTTTGTGATCAGTCCTTTATCACTAGTGTTGTGTGCAAAAATGTTCTCCCAGTCAGTGGGGTTTCTCTTTGTTTTGGTTATTGTCTCCTTTGCTGTGCAGAAGCTCTTTAATTTGATGTAGTCCCAGCTGTTTATCTTTGCCTTCACTATCACTGCTTTGGGTGATGTGTCTGTAAAGATGTCTTTGAGGTGCATGTCATGTAACGTTTCGCCTATATTTCCTTCTATATATTTTATGGTTTCAGGTTTTATGTCTAGTTCTTTAATCCATTTTGAATTGGTTTTTGTGCATGGTGTGAGGTAGTAGTCAAGCTTCATTCTTTTGCATGTAGCGACCCAGTTTTCCCAGCACCATTTATTCAGCAAACTTTCTTTAAATGAGAAAGTATTCTCTTTTTTTAAAAAAAAAAAATGATTTATTTATTTACTTATACAAGCACTGGGTCCAGTCAGAAGCATGGGAGGGTGAGAGAATTCACCGAGCCGGAGCAGGGAACAGAACAGGCAGAGGAACCAAAGTACACTGCTGGGGGGAGCAGCAGGCAGCAGGAGAGGTCTGCGCACCATGTGGGACCCTTGCCCGGGCGGCCGGGGATTGAACCGGCACTACAGAGGCTGCAGGCAGCTTCGCAACCCAGTGCTCAATCGCTGTGCCACCAGGGAGGCCCGAGAAAGTATTCTTAACAAAAATAACACATCTGAAAATAATCAGGCCAATGAGAAGTGGACCTTTTGCATTTTTTATTTTTGCAATTGTCTTTCTTGTCTGTCTCATTAGAAGACCTTTGGATTTTCTTCATATTTTCTTCTCCGTTTAGTTTGTTGTTCTGGTTGAAGTCTATGAAAAAATATACACTGCCTTACTATAACTATGCAGACACTGCCTTACACAAATATGTTGAAGTAGTGTTTTTTTAGACAATTTGGAATATTCCACTTTGATACTACATTAAAACTATACAGTTTTAACCTTGGTATTTTCTCCAAGGTTAATTGGAGTAAAACCTGAAACAGTATCATTGAATATTTCTTATTCTGTTATATTTCCATAGTCCTCTTGTTGTAGAAATAAATTCTGGCCTTTTACCCAGGCAGAGGAAGAACAAGGGGTACTTCATAATGGTGAGGTCAGAAGCTTTATTATTCATGCATGAGTCCCAGACCTGGGTAGCCCCCTAAGTCAGAGCACCAGTTTAAAGACCAAGGTTTCCTTTTATACACAACTGTGTCCATATCTGTTACATTGATAGTGACGTGGTTTTTGTGGAGTCTGTGGGTTTGGAGTACGGGGTCTTTGGGGTCACTCTGGGAAAGGTTTCACCAGAGCTCCCCTTTCAGCGACACGTGGTGAGGTCCCCAGCGAGTTTCTCCAGGAGACAAAGACACTAGTTATATTTAAAAGATAGGTTTATTAGGGAAAGGGACAGAAGAGTAGAAGACACTTGCATAGACATAAGCGGGCAGGAAGAGCTGCCCCAAAAGGGACAGGTTTGCTGAGAGAGGCCTGCGTGGTTGCAGGCGGGCAGTCTTGAGGAGAGCGGCCTTTGCTGAAGGAGGTCAGTGCAGAGAAGTCCAGGCATGGTGCAGGTCACGGGCAGGCAGGCAGGAAGCTGCTGTCCTGCGGAGGGAGAGGGTTGGTAAAAAGAGGCATCTGCATAGACACAGGTGGGCAGTGGGCTTGCTGCCCTGAGCCTGTGCAGAGACTGCACTGATATAGTCCTCTGCTGTTTGGGAGGGGCCGCTCCTTGTGAGCTTTAGGGTTAGTGGCTGATTTTGGATAACTAAGCAGAATCTGAAAGGGACAGCAGATTCCACCATGGGCTCAATCTCCATATCTTTACCTGTGGATGTGTGCTCTGATACCTGCTTGGATGTTGTGTAATCCAGGCATTGGTGCCTGAAGATCTTAGTTTTCACAACTGTGTAGTCTGTGCCTAAGGATCCTAGTTTCCATAACTGTGTTGACGGTTATGCTAATCTCTTCTACCTCCATCTTCTTGTGAGAGCCACGTTTCTGGTCTTGTGGTGCTTCCTTTTGCAGTTTATTTATTTATTTTTTTTCATTCCTGTCCTCCATCAATAGCATCGTTTTTCAGCAGGCACAACCATTTGCTGCAAAGTCCCCCGACAAGGGGGGCCAGGCAAGGGGGTGAAGATGCAGGCATTTGAGGATGCCCTTTAAGAGACAGGCCAGCTGGCTAACTGCCCAACCTTGTAGATAAGAGTGCTGAGGCCCTGGCCATGCATCTTAAAAGGGAAAGAGCTGTGAGTAAGCAAACTTGTTCATTATGCCTGCATGGGAGTGTTCATTGTGTTACAGGACAAGGAGAGGAGCACCCCAGGCCCCGCAAACCTGTCTGCTCTAAATAGGCTCTGCCATCCACTGCATCAACACAAAACATGTAAGACTGTAATGGGAAGGAACTTGAATACAATTAGTAAACAGTACAGAAAAGACAAAGAATATAGTTTCTAAATCAAGCACCCATGTTACCAATACCCTTGTGGGTAAAAGACCACACGAATGGTCTTTTGGGCCAGAGCAAGGCCCGAAAGCCTGCCACAAATCTAAAGCATCTTTTAGTGGGAACCCACAGAAAAGGATCAGAAATAACCAGACAAGCTTGGGAGAAAAAGATCAAATTCAAAATCAAGATAAAAGCTGCCATTGTCACCTTCCCACAGGTCTCTCACCAACATCAGTTTCAGCACCAAAAGGTAAGCGCAATTTCTTCACTTGTCTCTCTGTTCCATGTGCCCCCTCCAGGTCTCCTTATGGCTCCATCCTGCTTCCTGCCTTCCTCAGTCTCCTCTGCAGCTTCTTGTCTTCTCTTTAGCTCCACCCTCCTTTGAGTGTGATAAGGGAACCTGGAACTTCCCCTTTCCCTGGGCAGCAGCCTGTTACAATTGCACCAAGACTGGAAATTCTGCTGGAATCTTTATTATATTCATTTGCTCAATAATATATGTTCTCATCACTCTCTTGCATATTGGTTGGGTCTTGTGCTTATGTGTGATTTTTTTAAAGTAATATATTGTTCTACTAAGTTATAAAGATCTTCAGTATTCATTACACTGGAATCAAATAATTTAAAAATTTTTTTTTTCACTTAATTTTTCACCACAAATCCCAAAAGTAAAGGTAGTACTGGAAGTTGTGAAGTTAGTGAAAGATGGAGGAGAGCAATGGAAAAAGACTGGAAAGGAGATGGCCCAAGACCAGAAACCTGGCTCACACAAGGAGTAGGGGGTAGAAGGGATTAACACAGCCATTGACACAGATAGAGAAACCAAGATCCTTAGGCTCCAAAGCCTAGATTACAAAGCAGAAAATCCAAGCAGGTATGAGACTGCTGTCTAGAGCACTGGCCCAAGGGTAAAGATATGGAGATTGAGCCCTTTGTAGACTCTCCTGTCCCTTTCAGATTCTGCATAGTTGTCCAACATCAACAACTAACCAGAAGGCTCACGAGGAGTGACCCCTCCCAAACAGAAAAAGACTATGTCAGTGCAGTCTCTGCACAGGCTGGGGGCGGCAATCCCTCTGCCCACCTGTGACTATGCAGGTGGATCTTTTCGCCAACTCTCTTCTCTGCAGGGCAGCAGCCTCCTGCCTGCCTGTGACCTGCATCATGCCTGCACTTCTCTTCATTGACCTCCCTCAGTGGAGGCAGCTCTCCTCAAGGCCACCTGCCTGCAACCATGCAGGCCTCTCTCAGCAAACCTGCCCCTTTCAGGAGGCAGATCTTCCTGCCCGCTTGTGTCTATGCAAGTGTCCTTTACTCTTCTGTCCCTTGTCTAATAAATCTGCTCTTTAAATATAACTAATGTCTTGTGGAGAAACTCACCTGGGGAATTCTTCGTGTGTTGCTGAAACAGGAACTCTGGTGAAACCTTTCCCAGAGTGAACCCCAGGACCCCGCACTCCAAACCCACTGACTCCAAAAACTCCATCATTAGCATACCATAGGTTATTAATATTTTTAAAAAAAATTATTTATGCATACAAGAGCTGGGGTACAGGCCAGAGGTGTGGCGGGTGAGAGGATTCATCAAAGACAGAGTGGGGAGCAGAACAGGAAGAACTACAGAAATACATTGCTGAGGGGAGCAGCAGGTGAGACAGGGGAGGACTGCTGTGCCATGTGGGTTGCTCCCTGGCCATGGATTGAACTGGTGCTTCTGCAGCTACAGGTCACTTCATTGTGCTGATGCTTAACCCCTTGCGCCACCAGGGAGGCCCCAGGTTATTTATATTCTAAAGTAAAGAAGCAATAACATCTTTTAAAAAGGTTTTATTCTAGTAAAGTAAATGTTTAAAGCTATAACCCACCTAAAAAAAATTATACATGGGATCCGTAATAATTTGTGAGACTGTACAGAGTTTCTGAAAGAAAATGTTTGAGGCTTGCGGACCCAGTCCCTGGGCCTGGACTCAGGGACACGGTGTGGCAAAGGTCTCGGAGCAGGAGAGGAGGGGGCGGCAAAGTCCCAGGTCTCGGGGTGTGGCTGTCTGGGTCTCAGTCCCCAGTGGGTGCAGGGCTGGAAGGTGACTGCTGGGGATTCGCCCTCTCCCCTCGGTTCCACTTCTGGGCTCACAGCCTGGGCGGGTCCTACTTCCTGGATACTGGTGACTCACCCCAGGGCTCACTCCCCATTGCCTGGAGGTCTCCGGAGCAGCCAATCAGCAGCCCCGCGGCTCCCGTGCCAAAGCCCCCACCCGCCCTCCGGGACTCTGTCTCCCCAGCCCGGGTGGAGGCGCGTCCTGGGGGATGGGGGGCGCAGCCCTCCTGCTCCTGCTCGCGGTGGCCGCGGCCCCGAGGGAGACCCGGGCGGGTGAGTGCGGTCGGGAGGGGACAGGGCGCTCCCAGAGGCGGGAGCGAGGGCGCGGGCGGGCGTGGGAAAGGCGCGACCTCGCCGCCGCCCTAGTTGTCCCCCCACCTCGGCCCCGCCCCGTCCTGGCCCCTTTCCGTCCCCCGAGACCCCAGCCTCCTCTGGCCCCCCGAGTCCCGGCCATTTTCGTCCCGCAGCCGCTTTTCACTCTCACTTTCTGTCTCGTGGGCGCCCCCTGGGACTCGAGCCCCCGAAGGGGAAAAGAATAGGCCTGGTCTCCCCTCCCGCCCCCAGGCCCCCACTCCCTGAGGCTTTTCTACACCACGTTGGCCCGGCCCGGCCTCGGGGAGCCCCGCTACATCGCCGTGGGCTACGTGGACGACACGCAGTTCGGGCGGTTCGACAGCGACTCTCTGGGCCAGAGCGCGGAGCCGCGGGCGCCCTGGGCGGGGCAGGCGGTGCAGGAGGAGCCAGAGGACTGGGACAAGGAGACGCGGCACCAAAGGGACAACACACGGTGGTCCCGAGCGCACCTGGACTCCCTGCGCGGCCTCTACAACCAGAGCGAGACCGGTGAGCTGGCGCGGGTCCGGGCCGGGTCAGCACCCCCATCCCCACGGACGGGGGTCGCTCAGGGTCTCCCCCTCCAGGCTTCTCCGCAACCTGCCCGGGAACAGCCCGCGGGACTTTCACTCCTTTTCATTCTGTTTAGTTTATTCCCGGCGGGAGGGGGTGCGGGCAGGGTGACGAGAGGTGACACGGGGCAGGGACAGGGTCTCACACCCTCCAGGAGATGTTTGGCTGCGACGTGGGGCCCGACGGGCGCCTCCTCAGTGGGTATGTGCAGTTCGCCTACGAAGGCGCGGATTACCTGGCCCTGAACGAGGACCTGCGCTCCTGGACCGCTGCGGACATGGCTGCTCAGATCACCCGGCGCCAGTGGGAGGCCCGGGGTGAGGCTGAGAAGATCAGGAACTTTGTGGAGGGCAGGTGCCTGAGGTGGCTGCTCAGATTCCTGGCGCACGGGAAGGAGACTCTGCAGCGCACGGGTAAGAGGGGCCTGGAGGCCTCCCGGTCCCCCCCTGCCTGGAGTCACTGCGGGAAATGAGTCCTCTCTCTAGTCCCGAGAGGGGGACTCCCCTGGGTTTCATGTTCTGCACTAGAGAGACTCCGGCTTCTCCTGAAGGACAGGGAAGGGATCCCGTCTCTCCTGAGAAAGACAGACAGTCCCTGACATCACACGTCACCGGGTCCTTTTGACCAGGGGCCTGTTTGAGAACCACGAGTTTCTCTCTCAGTCTTGTTTCTGGTCTGAGAACATTTTCAGTTATGTGATTCCTGCTTTTCTGTGTTATTCACCTTCCACCCAGGTCAGGAATAAAACGTCTGTGTTCCACTCCCTCTGCTTCATCCTACCCTGGGTTTTCGTCCTCATTCTAGAACTTTCTAAGGAATAGGAGAATCTCATAGATTCTCCCAGATTAGCCTGTTTTTTACATTTTATGCTTCTTGCTGCCACACCAGTTGTCTTGTCCATTGTGAGGATGGTCTCATGAGGATTCTTCAGTGTCCATGGAGGAAACACAAGGTGAGTTTTCTGATTTACCACCTCAGATCCCCCAAAGACACGCATGACCCACCACCCCTCCAGTGACCATGAGGTCATCCTGAGGTGCTGGGCCCTGGACTTCTACCCTGCGGACATCACCCTGACCTGGCAGCGAGATGGGGAGGACCTGACCCAGGAGATGGAGCTGGTGGAGACCAGGCCTGGGGGAGATGGAACCTTCCAGAAGTGGGCGGCTGTGGTGGTGCCTTCTGGCGAGGAGCAGAGATACACGTGTCACGTGCAGCATGAAGGCCTGCTGGAGCCCCAAGTCCTGAGATGGGGTAAGGAGGAGGATGTGGGCACAGAGGCTGTTCTCAGGGCCATCAGGGCACTTCTGGAGCCCTTCAGAGGGCCAGGATAAGGTCTGGGGCTCAGGGTATAATCTTCCCTTCCCTTCCAGTGCCCCCTCCTCAGTCCTCCATCCCTACCACGGGCATCTTTGCTGGCCTGGTTCTCCTTGGAGCTGTGCTCACTGGAACTGCGGTGGCTGCAGCTGTGATGTGGAGGAAGAAACGCTCAGGTAGGGAAGGGACTGGGGGCTTTCAAGTTCCAGGGAGAACTTGCCCTACCTGGTTAATGGGAAGTACGATCCACACATATGTGTGGTACTGAGAGGGTATTTGGTCCCCCTCACCTCCTTTCTTCATTTTTCCCAGTCCTGACCTGGGTCTTTACTCACTGTTCTGGAAACTTCCCTGTTCTGCAGGATTAAAAGATTCCTTTAGGTCTCCTGACCTGACCACACCCTAGTCTCACATGATGTTTCTTCACACAGGAGGAAAAGGAGGAAGCTACACTCAGGCTGCAGGTAAGTGTGGTTTGATCCCTGAGCACCTGGGGACAGTGTAAATGGACTCCATGGGAGAGTCACCATCATCACTCCCTCCTATGGTCTCATTTCTGACCGGGTTCTGTTTTGTTCTCAACCAGGCAGCAGCAGTGCCCAGGGCTCTGATGTATCTCTCAGCCCCTAAGGATCTTTTACAATGAACCTGTTGAGTCTCCTGTTGTGCACACCCTGGACAGAAGGATGATGGTGTCACTGTTGTTCTTAACTGTGATATTGAGCATTTGATCATATTTTTACTTTTCTATGACTAAAGTTGCTGTTTGTAAGGAAATTTTGTACATTTTTACAGATGAGTTGCCATTCATTTATTACACTATTTTGTCCTTATTAAAATTGGGTTATTTCTTTCTGATCATTGAGTTTTAGGCATTATTTGTAGATACCATCCTTTAACAGATTCGTGATTTGCAAATGTTTCTCCCCACTCTGTGACCTGAACTCCTTTACTGTTGGGAAAACAAACACTATTGCCCAGACAGGAGCATGGAGATATATATATATATATATATATATATATATGAGAAAAGATAAGATAAATTGCTAACTGTTTTTGAGCAGACACTGGCTGCCTGGGGTCTTGGGGGTGGAGTGGATTGACTTATGCGTATCCTTGAGTATTATTTAAATGTCCTTGTATGAGCATGAAATATGCTTTCTAAAGTAAATTACACTTTATTCCTCGATTTATAAAACTGTTCACACATCATGTCCAAATCATGTGTTAAGACCAGACTGACACGTGGATTACATGTGATGGACCTGCATGTCACAGTCACAAAGTCATGGTTTCTCTCAGGGTTCACTCTGGTGTTGTCCATTCTTGGGGTGTTGGACAAATGTATAATGACCTGTGTCCACCATGAGAATATCATGCAGAGTATTTTCACTGCCCATAGTGTCTTCTGTGCTCCAAGGAAGCAAAAGCAAAAAGAAACCAATGGAATCACATCAGACTAAAAAGCTTCTACATAGTGAAGGAAAGTATCGTTAAAATGATAAGACAATATCAAATTTGAGAAACTATTTGCACATCATCAATCCAACAAGGAGTTAATCTCCAAAATCTACAAAGAACTCCAAAACAAGAAAACAACTCAAAACAGGGGCAGAGGAGCTAAATAGGTACTTTTTCTAAAGAAGACACACATGTGGCCAATAGGTAGATGGATAAATGTTTGCCATGTGCTGTCAGGAAAATGCCAATTGAAATCATAATGAGTTACCACCTCACACTGTGAGAATGACCCACTGAAGGGTGTGGAGGAAAAGGAACTCTGGCACATGGTGGGAATGATGTCTGGTCCTGTTAGTGGGCAGAATGAGGGGTTCCCTGGACCCTAAAAACTGTACACTCTACAAGGGATCTGCCATCAGCTGCATAAAAACAAAGCATACTCTAAAGTATAAGACCTTCAACAGAAAAGAACTTTAATGCAATTAGTATAAAATAGAGAATCAGTGTGCAATAGAGCGAGAGAAGAGAAAGAATATAATTAGAATAGTACCCAAGTGAAGCACCCAATGTTACCCGTCTCCTCATGGGTAAATGCCCAGAGAAACAGGCTTGGCCCAAAGTAGGCACACTGGGGCCCAAAAGCCTGCCACAAGGCTAAGGCACCCACTGGTAGAGACCCATGGGACAGGGGCAGGAGGGGGCAGGCAAGTCTGGAAGGAAAAGAACAAAAATCAAAATCCACATCAAGATAACAGCAGCCATTGTCAGCTTCCCCATGGGTCTCTCATTCACGTTTTTGTCTCTTTCACTTGTCTCTTTCCATGTCCCCAACTCCCTGGAACAAGTCCAAGCGAGAAGCAAGTGTGGTTTCTTCTTCACATGTCTCTCTTCTTCATGCACCTCCTCCAGCCTCCTTTCCTCGTCTTACTCCACGTCTTCTTCCTCTTCTTTAGCTTCTCATCCCTGATCAGCTCCACCTTTCCTTGGGCGGGGCAGTAACCTGGAACCTCTGTTTTCTATGGATAGCACATTGGTCCTGCCCCTATATAAAAAAAAATTAAAATGAAGGTTCCTCAAAATAGACCTGTCACATGGTCAAGCATCCCATTCCGTAGTATTTATCCAAAGAAGGTAAAAACACTAATTCCAAGGAATATGCGCCTCCTCTGGTCACTGCAACGCTGTCTACTATAACCAAGCGATGAAGACAACCTAAGTGCCCAATGGCAGATGAGGGGATAAAGAATACAAGCTATATACACAATGGAATACTACTCGCCTGTGAAAAAGATGAAATATTGTATTTGCAACAACATGGATAGTTGTGTATGGGATTGTGCTAAGTGAAATAAGTTTGAAGGGGAAAGTTAAATACTGGATGATTTCATATTTGGAATATAAAGAAACAAAGCAGGGACAGATGAAACTAAACCAAAACATACTCTATATATATATGACTGCAGAATGGAAGCCATGGGCTCGGGGTAAGAGTAGGAAACAGTCGGAAGAGGGCCCAATGGACTATGGTTAAGACTGTGGGTGCCCTTAGGGTGGGTGTGATGTGGTAACAAACATCTGAAGAGGTGTGACCCTTGCCTCTGAACACATGCAGTATTGTAAACCAATGCTAACCTCAGGTGAATAATACGATGAAGGTAAAAAGAAAAAAAAAGTAAATTGTCTCCTCCATCAGTCACTGACCTCAGGACTTTGCCTTCACCTCCTCACTGTCATGCAGGCTGAGGGGCTGGTTTCCCACAAGGTCAGAGGCAAGAGGTGCAGGGACTCCTGGAGCTGCTCAGACCCCGCTGAGTAGAGACACTGCAGAGAGGGCGGCTTTGAGGGGACCAGAGACAGAGGGTCAGAGTAACGCCAGTGCTAAATGAGGGTCTGGTTCCCAAGGAGAGGGGAGTGTGTGTGTGTTTGCGCGTGTGTGTAACAGGAATGACAGGATACACAACATAAGATGATGGGAAGTCAATTAACATCAAGCCCCAGAATAAATTAATTCAAATTGCACACAGAGTAGAGAGTGTCAGAACAACACCTCAGTAAATACAGTTCCATGCAGAAGCAGCTTCTGAGCAGGACTGAAAAAGCATTGGACCTGAAGAAGAGGAGGAGGTTTAGAAATATCTCATGGTTGCCTTGAGGTGTAAAGAGCTGGGCAGGACCCCTCCCCCCACCCTGGCCCCTGCTAGGATGTTGTGGCTTCTTCACCCCTGACAGCTCCCTCCCCCAAACCCCAACGTTCATCTCCTTTGGAGTCACCTGTATATGTACATATATGTACACGTGTAATCCCAGCTTCTTCTTAATTTCCCACCTGTCTGAGGCATTTAGGTTGTTTCCATAGCTTGGTTACTGTAAATAGTGCTTCAGTGGTGACGGGAGTGCAGGTCCCTTTACAGGAGAGTATCCTCTGTGAGGAGATCCTCAGTGTAGAATTTCTGGGTCCAATGGAAGAACCACATTTACTCTTTAAGAAACCTCAGTACTGTTTCCATAAGGGCTGGCTCAGTCTTTATCCAAAAACTGTGCACGACTGTCCCCTTTTTCCACATCCTTGCCAGCACTTGAGTTTCTGTCTTTTGGATATAGGCCATTCTCACAGGTGTGAAGGTTTAAAGCAGGGGATCATAAAGCCACACAATGTGGTCAAAAAGAAATCCTGTAACACTCAGGCCCACACAAGGCTGTCTAATACCCTGAAAGAAAATAATGATGAAGAAATTCAGGTGAATTACCTCAGTGTTAACAATATCAATGGTCCATTGCATTCTCAGGATGTCCTCCTGAAAGCATCCCCATAATCTTGTCCCAGTCTCTCTGCCACAAATTCCAGCCCCCCAGCAGTCTTCGAGGGTCTCACCTTTAGGGGCTGAGATACATTTCAGAGCACTGGGACTGTGGCTGCCTGGGGGAGAACACAACAAACCTTGGTCAGAGATAAGACCATGGGAGGAACAGATGAGAGTGACTCCCCCACGGGCTCCATCTACACTGTTCCCAGGGGCTCAGGGATCCAACCCTTGAACACACTTACTTGCAGCCTGAGTGTAGCTTCCTCCTTGTCCTCCTATGGGAAGAAGCATCATGTCAGGCGAGGGAGGAGTCAGGTCAGAAGCCTAAGGGAATCTTCTAATCCTGGACCACAAGGAAGTTTCCAGAACTGTGAGTGAAAACTCAGGTTTGGACTGGGAAAAATGAAGAAAGGAGGTGGGGGGGACTGGACCAAATGCCCTCTGGGCAACACACATGTGTGGATGGTACTTCCCATTAACCAGGTAGGGCAACTTCTCCCTGAGACATGAAAGCCCCCAGTGGACAAGATCCCCTCACACCCTTCCCTACCTGAGCACGTCTTCTAGCCCCTCACACATGAAGCCACCTTGTATCCAATGAGCACACCTCCAAAGAGAACCAAGCCGGAAATGAGGATGACAGCAAGGATGGAGAACTGAGGAGAGGGAACTGGAAGGGAGGAGAAGGCCAGACCCTGAACCTGAGGCCTCATTCTGACCCGCTGAAGGTCTCCAGAAGGGCTTCTGATGACCCTGAGTTGGCTGTGTGCCCACATCCCACTCCTTACCCCATCTCAGGACTTGGGGTGCTATCAGCCCCTCATGCTGCACATGGCATGTGTATTTCTTCTCCTTTCCAGAAGGCACCTCCACAGCTGCCCATTTCTGGAAGTTTAATAAGAGCTCAGGCGGGGGGAGAGGCAGAGCCACCCTAGAGGGCTCTCCCCAGCCTCCCCCTGCTGCTAATTCATTTAGACTTTGAATCCAGTTCATAGCTGAGAACTTCTCATGGGCCGTCTGAGGCAGGGTAGATACCTTGGAATGTGACTGCTGGGTCCTATGGCAGATGCTCAGTTAATTTTCTAAGAAACCTGGACACTTTTTTCCATCAGGGATGAACCAGTCTATATTCCCCAAATCAGTGCAGGGCCGTCCCTTGTCTCCATGTCCTACAAGCTCTTGTTAGGTCTGGTCTTTTAGATATGGGCCCTTCTCACAGGTGTGAAGTAGTTTCTCATTGTATTTTAAATCAGGGATCTTGAATGGATCAAGAAGATGGGGTACACTTCAGTCCCATGAGAATGCCCACATTAAAAATGAAAAAAAAAAAAAAACCCAGAAACAACAAATGCTGGAGAGGATGTGGAGAAAAAGGAACTCTCCTGCACTGCTGGTGGAAATGCACACTGGTCCTACCATTATTCAGAGCTGTGAGGAGGACCCTCAAATTACTATAAATGGATCTATCTAATGATCCAGCAATTCCATTCCTAGGAATCTACCCAAAGGACACAAAAACAGTAATTCAAAAGGAAAACTGCACTGCTATGTTTATTTCAGCAATATTTACAGTAGCCAAGATATGGAAACAAACCCAATGCCCCCAAATCAACAAATGAGTCAAAAGGTTTTGGTATATTTAGGCAATAGAATATTACTAAGTGATGAAAGAAGACAAACTCATCAAATTTGCAGCAACGTGGA